TGGTAGCTGGGAGAGCAGCAGCAATGCTGGTGCCACAGTGACACGAAGCAATGGGGAAGTGATACAAAAAACCTCCCGCCATCACAAGGGCCAGTTAGGAGTCTCAGCTGTCCCTGTTTGATGGTGGTGCAATCCCTGCCATCAGGTCTGTGCCCATCCCATGTCATTTGGGGAGGGGATGTACAGCACTTGGGAACCTGCCATTCTCCATGGCCACGTTAACCATCCCTGGGGTCCAAGCCGAGGCAGAGGTTGTCTCTTACTGTGCCGGCTGGGACACCAGTGCTGATCAGGGTCATGGTGACTCCCAGCACTGGGGAAATGAGACACAAACCTGCTGTTGCCCCAGGGCCCCTCAGGTGTTGCCTGCTGCTGCCGCCGTTTGGATGCAGTGGTGGAGCAGCACATGTGCCTGTGAGGTGTCTCTTGCCATGGGGCACATGCTCTGCTCCAGCAGGTCCCCTCCATGCTCCCTGCAGGGAGACAGTCCCCCTGCAGGCCTGCCTGGCCCGTGCCCATCGGGCTCTCTGTGCCCTGGGCACCCTGGGGAGGGCAGCGTAGGGGACAGGGAGGGGTCGTGGGGGTGGGGGCATTTCCCCAGGGTGCAGCTGCTCTTGGGTTGGGCACAAGGCTGCCGAAGGTGGCCGCGATCCCTGTGCCCTGGGTCAGAGCAGGGCTGGCCAGGGGCTGCCCCGACAGCTGCGAGCAGAGCCCCTGGGCTGCCCTGGCTCTGGCAGAGTTTTCCCAGCGCTGGCCTGTTGGGCTCTTGATCAGCTCACGGGGAGACATTGCTGGAGCCCCGGGGCTCGGTGCTGGGCAGCTCCCCCTGTGCTGGGGAGTGGAGACCTGGGAAGAGCAAAGGTCTTGAGCGATGGGCCTGAGCTGGCAGGGGAAGAGCCAGGGCAAAAAAGCAGCAAAGCAAGAGGGTACCGCAGGCGCTGGGTCTGGGGAAAGCCCCAGAATCACTGGGGCTGGAGGTGCCTCTGGAGATTGTCTTGTCCCACCCCCTGCTTGAAGCTGGGTTGGCTACTGCAGGTTGCCCACAGCCTGTCCAGGCAGGTTTTGAACATCTCCAAGCATGGAGAATTCACAACTCTCTAGGCAACCTGTTCCAGTGTTTGATTGTCCTTGCAGCAGAAAAAAGGTTTTGCTATGTTTAGGCAGATTTTCCTGTGTTTCAGCCTGTGCCCGTTGCCTCTTGTGCTGTCAGTGGACACTTCTGAGAGGAGCCTGGCTCCATCTTCTTTCCTGCCCCCAGGAGATATTTATAATGTTGATACGATGCCCCTGAGGCTCCCCGCCTTGGGCTCAGCCATCCCAGCTCACACCACCTCTCTCCGTACAAGTGATGCTCTGAGCCCTTCATCACCCTCGGGGCCCTTCCCTGGCCTCGCTCCCATCGGTCCCCATCCCTGGCTTGGGGAACCCAGAGCTGACACAGCGCTGGGCTGTGCCTTAGGGTGCTGAGCCGAGGGGAAGGATCCTCTCCCCAGCTGCTGGCAACACTCCTGCTAATGCAGCCCACGGGCGCTTTGCTGGCTCCTGTGCAACTCAGTGTCCTCCCGGCTCCCCGGGGCCTTTTCTGCCACAGGGCTGCCAGCTGCTTGGCCCCAGCATGGCCAGGCAGGGGTTGCCCCCACAGGGGTAGGGTGCTGCATGGCTGTTGCAAAAGAAGGGGCAAGGACAGCGCTGCAGGTGTTTCGGGGAAGGGCAGGAGCGGCCAAGGCCTGTGTGGGGCCTGGGAGACCTGTAGGAGAGGAAAATGCCAAAAGTGGGCACCACCTGCCCCACCTTGCCCCCAGCAGCCCGGCTCTCCTGTACCCTTTGGCCCTGCAGCTGCTCGGCCCAGGCTGGGGACAGGGGGTCCGTGCTGGCAGGTCTTGGGCTCTGAGCTGTGATGTGTCCCCGTGTCTCCGCTCTGTGCCTGGGGACACGCCCCGCTGCATCTGGGGTGGTGGGGCTGGGCGGGGAGGGAGGTGGGGAGAGATGTGCAGGCAGGATCCGGCCCTGAGCACGGGGTCAGATTTGCATGGAGGGGTTGTGCCCTGGGCAGGCGGGGCCTTAAAAGGGAGTCGGGGTCCGCAAAAGAGCTCCATCGGCGTGGGGACACGGAGCTGGTGGGATTGCGCCATGGCCTGGGCTCCTCTCCTCCTCGCGGTGCTCGCCCACGTCTCAGGTGCCCTGGCCAGACTCACTGTGCCCGGCTGGGGCCTCTGGGCACAGGGGCCCCGTCACGCTGCCCGGGGAGGGCTGTGCTCATGGGGCACTGCCTGACCCCCATCTTCTCCCGTCTCTCCTCTTCCTCTCCAGGTTCCCTGGTCCAGGCAGCAGTGACTCAGCCGTCCTCGATGTCAGCGAACCCAGGAGAAACCGTCCGGATCACCTGCTCCGGGGGTAGCGGCAGCTATGGCTGGTTCCAGCAGAAGGTTCCTGGCAGTGCCCCCGTCACTGTGATCTACTACAATGACAAGAGACCCTCGGACATCCCTTCGCGATTCTCCGGCTCCAAGTCCGGCTCCACGGGCACGTTAACCATCACTGGGGTCCAAGCCGAGGACGAGGCTGTCTATTACTGTGGTAACTATGGCAGCAATGCTGGTGCCACAGTGACACAAAGCAATGGGGAAGTGATACAAAAACCTCCTGCCATCGCAGGGGCCAGTTAGGAGTCTCAGCTGTCCCTGTTTGATGGTGGTGCAAATCCCTGCCATGGCCCTGCCCTTGCTGCCCTGTGCTGCAGGTGGCTGTGCCTTGTGTCCCATCTCGGCCGTCCCTAAAAGCCCCAGGTCTGTGCCCATCCCATGTCATTTGGGGAGGGGATGTACAGCACTTGGGAACCTGCCATTCTCCATGGCCACGTTAACCATCCCTGCCATGGCCCCGCTCTGTGCTGCAGGTGGCTGTGCCTGGTGTCGCAGCTCAGCCGTCCCTTAGAGCCCCAGGTCTGTGTCTATCCCGTGTCATCTGGGGAGAGGATGACTCCCAGCAGCCCTTTCCTTGCCCTGCACTGCGGGTGTAAGGTCCCCTGTGCTCCCTGGCTGGCACCCAGGGCCCTGCTGGGCACCTCCCTGCCCTCCTCCCAGCACAGCTCTGCCAGAGCCCCCGGGCACTGGGTGCCTGCTCCCCCCAGCCAGTGCTGATTTTAGCCAATAAAGGAAGCAGTTTCTGGGGGTAGATGTTTGCACAAGCCATGCCAGGGCAGTTTCAGAACGGTTTATGCTGCAGGGCTGCTCGTCACATCCTACCCTTTCCCTTCTCATTTGCTTCCAGGCATGTGTGGGCAAGCCACGTGGCAGCAGCAGGAGAGTGCCTGGCATGGCCTCTGCTGCTCAGCCCCAGCAGCTGGGACACAGTGGTCGTGCGTAGCCTCCCCAGTTCCTCCCCAGACCAGCACCCCCTCACCTGCCACTGCTCCTGCCGAGGCCATGTGCCAGGCAGGTGCTGAAGGGCCAACACCCCTGGTACATCCAGCACAGCATTGGTTCTCCTCCATGCCTCCCTCCAAGGAGAACAGCTGGACTTTCAAGCTGAACATTGTCCCCCTTTATTGTCCCCCCCTAAAATGGAACCGAAACCCCATCAAAGTCTGAGGAATGCTCAGAAACTGGTCGTCCACAATAGATGGCATCAGCTTCAGCTAAATGCTTTGCATAGACAATTTCAGTGATTTTTTTTTTTTGGCTAGTTTGCAGCCTTTGCACCAAGCCTACCCAGAGGCAAACCAAACCTCTGAAACAGAAAGTGCCTCGAATCACAAAATCTTTGAAGCATCATTTATTTTCTAGTGATTCAGGAGGTTCACTGACTCTGCCTCTTTCTATAACCGCTTGCATAAACCACAGCATTTGAATATTGTCGAGTTCAATTTAAGTTGGTGCTATTGACCGTCCTCAGTAAGTTGCTCAGATGCTCACACATGGTCGTTACAGTGCCATGGGCTGTATGGGCTCTTCCTGGGATTTGGGGTGTTGTGTTTTTTCTTTCTTCAACTTCTCCATTTGGTTACAGTAGCGTGTCCTCCATCTGTCTAACCACACTGAAACGTATTCATGTGCCTTTCCTTGACAGAAGGAAACAAGGTTTTATGGGCTAATTGGGCTTTGCTGCTTGCAAAATGTTTTTGGTCCTTTCAAATCTGCAGACCCTCTACTTATCCCATGGGTCTCGTTCAACTTGTCTGAGTGCAGGAGTTACTGGGTAAAAGTATATCTATATATTTGCCAGACAGCCAGATTATATTGGAGTTTATGAAACAGAAATTTCTTAACATTTCTCTTTCTCCTGAGAAGCTCCCAGGTATGCTCTATCATATGATGAGGAAATATATAGGGGGTCGAAGTGGAAGGCTTCAAGTCTGAGCAGATGGGTTGGGCTTGCTGGCTGAGGACAAGGTTGCCTCTTCACGTCTCAGTGGGACTCAGGAGGATGGCTGCCTCTTCAACCTCCAAAAAGCAGCATAGCCTAGTCTTGGCTACAGCTGCACGTGTGTGGCACAGGGCCGAGGTGTGGGATGCTGGTGACGGGGAATCCTGCAGACATGCGTGCTGGTTGTCCTCCGGAGACCTGGGGCCTCTTACCTCCAGGGCAGCCTTTTCTGGATTGCTAGGCTGAATATTAAAAAAATAAGCTGACCACAGAGACCTTGAGCTTTTAGCTCCTTTACTGGTGGTGGGAGCTGCACTGAAAGACTCCAGCCAGGACCAAAACTGCATGGGTACAGCCGTGTCCACACTTTAAAGACCTTCCTCCTTCCACATCCGCCTCCCCGCGTGGCTCTCTCCCCTCGCAGGCCAGCCCAAGATCTCCCCCACTGTTCACCTCTTCCCGCCATCCTCTGAGGAGCTCTCATCACAGAACAAAGCCACCCTGGTGTGTCTGCTGGGAGACTTCTACCCTCGCGCCGTGCAGGTGGCCTGGACAGCTGACGGCCGTGCCTTCACCAGTGGCATTGAGACCAGCCAGCCCCAGCTGCAGAGCAACAACCAGTACATGGCCAGCAGCTACCTGACGCTGAGTGCCGCCAACTGGAAGAGCCGTGAGACCTATGTCTGCAAGGTCACACATGAGACTGGCACCATCGAGAAGGTTCTGAATAGATCTGAGCGCTCCTAACCCCACTGGGGAATGGACAACCCTGGCCTTGGAACATCACATCCCCCAGCACAGTGCTTCACTGCTTGTCCCATCCCTGTTCCCTCCTTCTGTGCAAGTCTCTGCCATCTCTGTGGGCCGTTCCTTCTCCCTGTGCCTGAATCCCTCCCATCTCCCCTGCCCCATCCCCTCATCCTGGGCATCATCCAAATAAACCCTGAGTGTTGACCCTGCATCCACATATCCCAGTCCTTCTTCCTTGGTCAGATATGATCATGACCCTGCAACAAAACACGGATGCAATTGGCTGAGAGCTTAACTGCTCGCTCCCACGTCTTGAGCTCACTGGGTTGGTGCATTTTCCCCTGCCATGGTCTACGGCTGGTCCTTGGGTGTCCCCAGCTGGCTGCTGCCTTCCCTCCCCAGGCTCCTGCCCCAAATTCTGTTGCACCTGGGGAGCAGAGCAGGAGCCATCTCAGGTGCTGGGGCTGCAGCAGCCCTGAGTTTGGTCCGTGGGCACTGGCTTGATCTCCCACAGCAAAGGCGGGAGCTAAATTAAGTTGGAGAAAGCAGCCAGCCAGGGCTCCTCTGTTGCAACGCCCAGTGCTGACTGATGCCCCTAGCCTTCCCCTCCACCTGCGGACCAGGCCACCCGATCCAGGCTTTAAATGCTGAGACCTGCACTGAGCTCTGTTAGGGCAGAAATAAAAAATCCCTGTGAATTTGGCCTTCGGTCATCACGCACTGACGCAGCGATAGGCGCCTTCAGCAAACGTCCTGGGGCGTGATCCTCCGTCATGGCTGGCAGGCTTCGTTCACTCAGGGGGGGCTCTGAACTCCCCCACACCAGAGTCAACACCGCACCAGTGCCTTTGCTGGCACCGAGATGCCAGGTGTGACGGAGGGAAGTGCTTATTTACCCTCGGTGGGATGGTCCAGCGCCCCGTGCCCAGCCCCGAGCGCAGGGCTGAGCTCTGGCACAGCGGCAGGCACAGCACGATGGCAGCCAGGGCTGCACCTCTCCCCTGCCACAGGCTGCCCCAGCACAGGGCACCCTGACACAGCTGCCCCAAGGAGGCTCACCTGCCCGCCAGGCACCGAAAATCCTGCCCAGGTAAGAATGTGGGCTGTGCCAGGGTTCGGTTTTGCCCCAGAGAGCAGAGCCAGGCTGTAGGGTGGCATGGGTACTGGGAGGTGGGTGTCCCCTATGAAATCACGGCACCTAAGCCAGCGCTGGTGTTTCTGGGCAGTGGGAAGGATGGATGGATGGTTTATTCATGAGCTTTACCTGCACACATACTGTGCAATGGCTGGTGGTCCCCCTTCGCCCCAGCTGCAGCCACGGTGTAGCCCGAGGGGTGGCAGGACGGTGGCCGGTGCCCCCCAGGGCAGTTCACAGACACCTGCATGGCAGCAGCACAGGTCAAGGCGAGGTGCTGCCTGTCGCGCCTTAGGGACACCCAAAGCCTCCACCAGCTCTTCCTCACCTGGGATTAACGTCCCCACACCACAGGCAGGGACATGGGCTTGTAACGAGCACAAGGGCGTGGTCCTCGGTAGCAGTGGGTCCCTGGAGCAGCCACGGCTCTGGAGAGCCCAGCCAATGTGGTCCATGAGGGATGGCGGGGCCAAGGCCACCCATTTTCCTGTGGCCCCTCCAGCAAGGAGACACAGTCATCCCCATATGGCTGTCCTGCTGCTCCTGGGGATTAACGTCCCCACACCACAGGCAGGGACATGGGCTTGTAACGAGCACAAGGCCTCGGTCCTCGGTAGCAGTGGGTCCCTGGAGCAGCCACGGCTCTGGAGCCAATGTGGTCCATGAGGGATGGCGGGGCCAAGGCCACCCATTTTCCTGTGGCCCTTCCAGCAAGGAGACACAGTCATCCCCATATGGCTGTCCTGCTGCTCCTGCCCTGCCACATCCACCGGGGCACATCCAGCACTGTGCATCCAGCCTGCTGTGTCCATCGGGACACCTCCATCTCATCACCTTCATCCTGCTGTGTCCATTGGGGCATCTCCATCTCATCACCTCCATCCTGCCACATCCACGGGGCCCAGGACTGCTCCTGCCACGGGGCAGGAAGTTTTTGCACAGCCCTGTATCACTGTGTGTTTTTGGGCCTGGGACCCTGTTGACCGTCCTAGGTAAGTCGCCGACTTCTTCTCGGTCTTTCCTTCCCCACCGCGAAATTGTGACATTTTGTCGATTTTCGGTGATTTGGGGTTTTTTTCTCGGACTTGGCGCTGGGTGGGGGTCTGCCGCTGGTTCAGGGACAGGCACTAAGCGCGGCATTGTGGTCTGTGTCTTGTCCCTGCGGACTCAGAGGGCTCTGGTGCGCGCCACGGAGGATTGGGGGGTATTTTCTCAATTGAAAGAACTTAAAATTTGGCCAGAAAATTTGTCTGACGCCTCAGGGAACCTATTTCAGAAACTCAGGTTTAGGTCTCTAAGAAAGTCAATTTTTGTCTTTGTTAAAGAAATTAGTCATTAGTCTAAGGTCTAAGGTCTAAGTCCTCAACTCCTAGTCCTGAGGACTAAGTCTGTCACCCTCGGTGAAGAGCAGGGGCTTCTCTGTGGAGTCTCGCGGCCGAGGGTGCGGGTGCTGCGAAATGGCAGCCCGTTCTCGGCCGCGAGCAGGCTGAAGTCGCATCCAACTTTGTGTTAAAATGGCACATCCCTGGGATCTTAACCAAAACTTTTCAGGGGTATCTTAAAGAGCCCGTTGTCCAGGTAATCCGTGTCAAAAATGGAGATTACTGTGTTGAAAATGCTGCCGGGAATATCGTTTTGTCAGTCTTTGTAATTTTTAAAAGAATTTGGCCAAAAAACCCAATCTGAACCAAATTACTAGGGGCATAAGATTGAGAAAAATGCAGTTTGCCAATTTCTTCAGTAGAAAGCTTTTAATGGCGGAGTCCTCCTGGTTTTCGAATAGAGATAGAGATAGAGATAGAGATAGAGATAGAGATAGAGATAGAGAGACATTGTACATTTGAGGAGGCAGCAGAACCACCTTGGAAAGACCAAACAAACATCTTTTTTCCGTCTTCCTTCGGGTGATTCTTAGTTGTACTTTTTCTGAGACAAGTCTGAAAGTGTCTGAAAGCAGAACTGTGCAGAAAAAAGGATGGTTTGTCTTCGAAATTTTGATTTTTAAAAAAATTGCCTTGCAAAAGGAAGGAAATGGGTTTATGGCAACTAATATATGAAAAATATATATACATACATAAATATGTATAATATATAAATGATCTATAATTATACATATATTTCTATAACAATATATACTACATATATATGTAGTATATTGTATATTTTATGTATGTAATATATAATATACATGTATATGATGTATATTAGCTGTATATATAGATATCTATAATATATAATGTGTATATGCTTATATATACACATATAGTGTATATATATAACATATATACAAGTATATATGGGATGTATATATACACATGTATTTTTATATATATATACACATATATAAAAAATATATAGAGAGATTTATGCAAAATCTAAATACATTAGAATTATAAGTTATAACCTCTTAGCTGTGGGGGAAGTGGGGAGTTTCTGGGCAGTGCCAGCTGGGGCAGGCAGGGCAGGCAGGGCAGGCAGGCAGGGGGCTGTGGCGGGGCACAGGGCCCCCCTGACCCTGCACCGCTCTCCTCCCTCGCAGGCCAGCCCAAGGTCTCTCCCACCGTCCACCTCTTCCCGCCATCCTCCGAGGAGCTCTCGTCACAGAACAAAGCCACCCTGGTGTGTCTGCTGGGAGACTTCTACCCTCGCGCCGTGCAGGTGGCCTGGACAGCCGATGGCCGCACCCTCACCAGTGGCATTGAGACCAGCCAGCCCCAGCGGCAGAGCAACAACCAGTACATGGCCAGCAGCTACCTGACGCTGAGTGCCAACGAGTGGAAGAGCCACGAGACCTACGTCTGCAAGGTCACGCACGAAGCTGGCAACGTGGAGAAGAGCCTGAAGAGATCCGACTGCTCCTAACCCCACTGGGACCTCCCCGCGCCCAGTGGCCCCTCACTGGCCCCCTCCCTCTTCCCCGCTGCTGGGGGCAGCGGCTCCCCCCCCCCTCCACCGCAGATGTGTCTCCCCACATCCCCCTGTCCCCTGCTCCTGTGCCCCCGCCCTAAGTGTCACACGAATAAACACCGACACTGAACTAGCGCTGGCTCAGCATCCCTGTCTCTGTGTCCTTCCAACGCGCCTGCTCCCCCCGCGCCAGCCGGCATCACCCCAGTGGCACCAATATGGAGGAGGGTGGGATGGGAACACACATGCATGCACACACACACACACACACATATATCGCTGGGGGTGCCCAGAGCTCCCTGCAGCTCTTGTTCACCCCCGGGGATCCCACTGAACCCCCCTGGCACCGCCAAGACCAGGGGATGAGCAGCTTGGGGCATCAGCCTGGTATAAGCTCCCATGCCGGCAGTGAGCACATGGCCCTGGCTGTGCCGGCCTTGTCCCTCACTGACCTCTGGGCACCAAGTCCCTTGCAGGGACACGTGGCTTGTGGTGGGGCCATGGCCAGCCATGTCCTTTTGCTGGCCAGCCCTGGCTCTGTCCCCATTTCCTTGGTCACCCCTGTGTCACCCAGGATGGGGGTGCCCACGTAGCCGCTGGTGCATGCACATGCGCCAGTTTGTCCCTTGCACCCTGTGCCATGGCAGCCTGGGCCCCTGCGTGCCACATGCCCCACTCCCCACACAGCCCCAGGGAAGTTCCCCTGCAGCCCTGCACATAGCGCGACTCACAGCCACAGCTGTACCGAGAGCGCCAGTGCTCAGCTGCAGGCACTCCATCAGAGCTGCCAGGAGCCACCCCAGGTACAGGGGGCACCCGGCCACACTGTGTGCAGTTCTGGGGGACATGCCCACTCCCCAGCCTCTTGGTAAAGGGGCGATGGCCCCACCACATCCCCCTCCCTGGGATATGTTGGTGCCAGTGGGGTGCCCGGCCCTGCCAGGCTTTGGGTTGCCACGTGTCCCTGCAGGCGCCTTCTAGGGACACAGAATCATAGAATCACAGAATGGTTTGGGCTGGAAGGGACCTTTAAAGGTCATCTAGTCCAACCCATCTGCAATGAGCAAGGACATCGTCCACTAGATCAGGTTGCTCAGAGCCCCGTCCAACCTGACCTGGAATGTTT